GTTAAATTTATTCATAAAAGGAGTTCTGTGCAGATTAATTAAAACAAAAGGGAGTTTGACGTATTTTTCAAATCACAGGTGTCCGGAGAGAAATGTTTGGTAGCCTTCCAAGTCACCAATGGACCAGACCTACTTGTTTGAAAAGCTCCTTTACTATATTTCGTATAAGATGACATATACGTACTTACATAGTGTGTAGTGGTCAATAATATAATAACACATAATAAATACCGTACTACATATTGACTTTGCACCCCATATTTCTGGTAATATTAGACTTTGCACCTCATTTTTGAAATCATTAATGTTACATCATGTTAGCCAATAAATTGTGAAGAAGTGGGGTGCAAAGTGAAATGATTTTATAGTGACTTGGGGTGCATACATTAATGATTTTGAAAATATGGTGCAAAGTCAGATATCAACCAAACAATGAGGTGCATAGCCGATTTCTCCCTTTCTACTATTACTCCAGACCCCCTGGAGTAAAAAAAATATATTTGTTCAAATGAGAAATGCATCTAATGTGAGAAATGAGAATGAACCCCAATCGTTAGATTTACGATATTGTACTAAAAATTGCTTCATGTTACAGTAAGATTTAAATTTTGCAATGTTGCACCAAAACTGTTTCATGTTGCACTAGACGACTGTAATACGGATTTTTTAGAAAATGCCACCAAACTAGTTGCATATTTCAGTGCAATATAAAGTGGTTTTACAGCAAAATAGTTGAATCCAACGGCTGAGATTCACTCTCATTTCTCACCTAAAGGCTTCTTCTTATTTGAATCTCACCACACACAATATTGAAATATAAGTTAAATGCTTATACAAAAGTTTAAAGAAAAGTGTAGATGCTTAATTAAAAATGCTTAAATAAAAGTTTATAGTTTTTTATGATGAGTGTAGGTCATATTTATTTTTGAAAAAAGTGTGTGATACGTTTAAATATTTTCTCTAGAACGAAAATCATATCTAAATATTTTATAGATGTAAAAATTTCTTAATAGTATTATTGTTTCAAATAAGTCTAAAATTATATTTTAGAATATGATGAATGTGTGGATATAATTGAATATTAAAGGATAAGAAAAGATTACAAAGTATTAAAATATGAATATTTCATTATTATTCAACACTATATTAAAGTATTCAAATATTTTAAAACTAAAACAAATGCTACATATAAGAAAACGTTTTCGAATATATAACAAACTTGCTTACCAAGTATTATAATTACTCTACAATATTATAGTGAAGAATAATTATTTTTAATTTTTTTTATTGATATATATTTTTACTATAAATTTTTATATAAAATTAAGTTGGTTGGGTTTTTCCAGGTTTGACCGAGTCGACCCGCCGGGTCCGGGTTGACCCATGTCCCGATGATTTGGATGGTTCATGATCACTCCTCTATCTGGTTTTTACAACACAAGTTTGTGTTTAAAGTGCTTACTCTATAGATCTATCTGTCGAGTGTCGATTGTTCAAAATTTGGGATTATATTCTTTAATTGGCACAATTATGTGGTCAAAATCAGGGATAAGATTTCTTAGAATCTTTTCAAAAATCGATTGATCTGCAATTGTTTCTCCGCAGCCTTTCATCGCATTTGTAATTGTAATAATGCGATTGAAGTACTATGCTATCATCTCAGAGTTGTCCATATGCATCAACTCATATTGTCTACGTAAAATATGCAATTGCACCTTCTTCAGCTGATGTACACCCTTGTAACATTTCTTAATAATCTACCAATTTTTGTTGTTGAGAACTGAAAGCGTCGTTGGAAACAAAGTACTATTCATCTTCTTGCTTACAACTGAAGTTCTTGAGATCACCTTAAGGCTCTGATACCAGTTTGATGGAGAATAGACAAAAGCTGAGAAAAGAATAGACAACTCTTTTATTAAAAAGTATGTTGCGGCACCTGCATGACTATATATCATACGTACAAAGATTAGAGTAGCAAAATGGTTTAGGCTAGTCAATTGACTTGTGCATTGCACGGATGACGAATGAAGTTAACCGTCAATCGGTTGGTAACTATTGTCTTCAGCATATAAATCTTATAAGTCACCTTTTTATAAAATAGTTAACTTTTGATGTAATAATTAAAATACGTAAAGTTGAAGTGACTATTGTGATTAATTTGAAAGAATTAGCCAAATGTGACTATTTTTTATATAATTCCTTTTTGATTCTGTTGATAAAGTATATTTTGATGTTTTTCATAATTCTAATTCAATCGCTTCATTAAGTAATTTACAAATTTCAACCGATTCAACCCATTTTCAGTGTTACCAGCTAGGATCTATTTTATTTTTGAAAGCAATTATAGTCATTTCATTAGTAATGTGAACAAACGTACTTATTGTATAAAAATTAAAACATGATGAAAATTTTATTAGTACGTATGTGATCGATAATTATAGGTATATCGATCGATAATCGATATATTACATCCGTTATGGCTTAAGCTTTTCATTAAAAATGACATGGTTATTTATATAGAAATAATAAGCCCAACTATTGGCGGTCCGCTAATAATAATCCTAACTATTGATTATTTTGGTATAATCCCAACGATATGGACCGTCCGCTAATAATGGTCCATGACCAGATATTACCTCCAATTTTAAATAGAAATTAAGCGTAAAAATTAAGAATTGAGATTATTTATAGGGATTACTTGTTATATCTCTTCTCATTCACTTTAGAAACTACATAAATTTATTTATAGTCGGTCACATCAGACCATTAATGGGAAGGTCCCTAAAGTTGGGATTATTCTGAAATAATCGATAGTTGAGATTATTATGAGCGGACCGCCAATAATTGGGATTGTTGCTATCAATTTTTCCTAAAAACAATATAACCAAGTTTGATATTTTTTATAATAATCAGATCATAAATAAAAAAAAGTTATAGCAATATAAAAAAGGGTGATTTTTTTAATTGGGGGGGGGGGTCCATGAAACTTGAAACGTGAGTCCCTTCGAGAAACGTGACTTCTGACTCCGATAGAAAGTCATCAATTGAGTTGGCGGCTTTTATTAATAGGGTTCACTTCGACAGTATTTTGAAAAATAGTTTTAGTACTCCATGTAACTCTAATTTCATGAATAACTTTTTCTGTAGCATTACCTTGGAGAAAACAAATAAGGAGAAATTTACAAGAATAATCCCACCTTGAACTCGTCTTCTCTAAACAATCATACAATTTATAAATCTGCACAAAAAGTCCCATGTTTCTTTCTTTTTTCTCTATAACTTTTCTTTGTTTGTTTTTAGCACTAGACATTTTTTTATTCCCTTTTCCAACTTTTTGTTCTTGTTTCTTTTCCATATTTATTATTTTATTTCTCAATCTATTAGGAGTGTTTTTTTTGTAAAATTTCCTTCCCAAATAGATTTTTTTCATTTTCTCTTTGTCCGTGTATTTTATTTCATTCCCTTTTTATGTATTTCTCTTCTTAATCATTCTTTTTTTATTAAAAATCTTTTTTCCACTCTACTTTTGTTATATTTTCTTTTTATTTTCACTTTCTTCTTTTTTTCTTCTTGGTTCTTTTTTTCATTTTCTTCTTCTTTCTTGTTGTTATCTTAATTATACCATGATTATATTTTTCCTTCTTTCTTCATTGTTGTATATTTCTATGTGAGTCCACCCATTAATTCTATCAATTATGGGAAAATATTATGTGACGAAAAGATTAGAGAAAAATAAAATTGAAAGAAAAATAAAACATTTGGTAAATTCTAAGAAAGAAAACATACATTTTCCCGATTGCTTTAATTTTATTTAAATTTCCCGAATGTTTTGTTTTTCTTTAAATTTTATTTCTCCCTAATCTTTTTATCAAATAGAGTTTTTCCTACAATTGATGGTTTTGATGGATGGTTTACTTAGAAAAATACGATAATTAAGAAAGGAAAACAAATATATTGATGGTGAAATTAAGATAACACCAAGTGATGGAGTATATGGCTCAAGAACCCCGGCCCACAGACTCCTACTACTCTAGCACAAGCCCAAGAAGCACAAAAGGCCCAAAACACAGCGGCCCAAGCTCAAAGGAGTCCAAGGTGTGCCCAGGGTAGCCTTCGGCAATGTGGCCGAAGGCTCCAGAACTCACAGGACAGCCAGATTCGAGCATACAAAGCTGCTGGGAGAACATGGCAGAAAACAGGAGCCTTCGGCACTCTCGTGCCCTCGGCATCAGAGAAGCCTTCGGCTGTACAGCGCCCTCGGCTACACAGAGCCCTCGGCCGCAGGGGAGCCCTCGGCCAACAACTCAATCATCGGAGATTCCCTTTGGAGACAAGCAACCACCACATTTAATGCGGCGTCACATCCACCCACCGCATTCAATGCGGTGCACATGCGAATGCCAGTGCCACCCGATTGAGGTGACCCCTCGACCGTTAGATTGCTGACACGTGTACTCTCATCGCATTTATTGCTGCTATAAATAGTACCCCCTTTTCCCATTGTAAAGGACTAGAACATCTCGAGTTCATTAATACAATCGTCTCTCCCTCTCTCTTACTTGTTTGCTCTGACTTCTCTCTAAGTTATTCTCATAATAACCCCTCGGATAAACTACCCCGGGTACACTGTCCATCACCAAGAAAGAAACGAACAAAGAAAAGAAAACATAAAAAAAAGTAACAAGAAGAAAAAAGGGAAAGTGATAATTAAAAGGTAATATAACAAAAATTAGAGTGGGAGAAATCTAATAAAAACACAATGATTAAGAAGAGAAACATAAAAAGGAAATGAAATAAAAATACGGGAAGAAAGGGAAAATGAAAAAATATGTATTTAGGAAGGAAATTTTACAAAAACTCTCTTATTAGAGTGAAAAATAGAAAGGAATTTGCCCTAAATAGAATAATAAATAATGAAAAGAAATAAGAATAAAATGATGGAAAAAGGAATAAAAGTAGCTAGAGATAAAACTAAAGAAAGAAAATTTTTAGGGAGGAAATAGAAACATAAAATAATAAGTTATGAGAAGATTGATCAAATATTCAAATGTGGGATTATTCTCCCTTGTTCTTGTTAGTTTTTCCATAAAAAAAATTGAGGGATTCAACGGAATGGATTTATGGATTATAGGTTCAAAATTCACTCAAGATGTACTTCGTCTACGGTATGATATCGAGCGATATAATCTTAGCTGATATCGCCAATTCGAGGTGGGTTAACTCGACATGTTTCAGAACTCAGTCATGACAAACGCTGAGCACTGAATGATTGGTGATGGAGCCCTCAAAAATTTGTTTCGAATTCAGCCCATTCAATTGCACGTTCTGTAACAGTTCTTCTTTATCTTTATTATATGATGATGATGAACAAAACGACGATCGACGCCAACCACCAGGTAGAGCCATTGGCCATTCACTGACACACACTCCGTAACCGCAAACAGTCCACTCTTCCATGCATTTCCTGTAGCGTCTCTGCTCGTCGAGTGAGTGGAGCGTCGCCGGCGATGGATAACGTCGGCCAGTCAACGAGGTGGGGGTTCAGAAGGAACGAAGAGCTCTTAGTAGCCTCCGCAATCAGCATAAGAGGAATTCTTGGCACTGTGATGAAAAACCTCAACCCGGATGACCCGAGACCCGTCATCCCGCTCGGCCACGGCGACCCTTCTGCCTTCGCCTGCTTCCGGACACCACCCGAGGCTGAATCCGCCATCTCCAGCTCCCTTGTTTCCGCTAAGTTCAACGGATATGCCCCTTCCACCGGCCTTATTCCCGCTAGACAGTAATGACTCACTCTTTCATCTTTTCAGCTTTACTCTTAAGCTATTGCGCGCTTCCCATTTTGAATTTATTTGGCAAATTTAGACTAAATATTTGCAGTTTGTTTCAAATGGATGGCCTAATAATTAGTGAATGTGTTGCATACATTGGAATAGCATTAGAGGGTGACACGATTAGGAATTATAGAATATCTTAAGAAGAGTGAAGTTATTAATTCTAACATCTCTAACATGAGTTTTTTAGCGGGAGATTGCTTAACACTGAATAGATCAGTGTATTCATCTTGCTGCCTATCAACTATCATAATCAAATTTCTTTTTAGAGCTGTTTTCTCTTTACAACTTGGATTCTATAAAAAAAATCAAGAAAAGTATATTTATATTGTGGCTTGTGTTTTTATATTTAGCTGGTCTGTAATGACTCAACACTAAAAGAAGTTGATTTATGACCAATCATCAGTGATTTTCATTAAATTTTTGTGATTAATGTTTGTTAAATGAGCAGGGCAGTAGCTGAGTACCTTTCTCAAGATCTCCCATATGAGCTATCACCTGATGATGTTTACCTTACCCTTGGATGCACGCAAGCAATAGAAGTCCTTCTTACCGTTCTTGCTCGCCCCAATGCTAACATTCTACTTCCGAGGCCAGGATTCCCTTTCTACGAAGCTAGGGCAGCCTGCACCAACTTTGAAGTCCGCCACTTTGATCTTCTTCCAGGTAATGAATGGGAAGCTGATCTTAATGCTGTTGAGGCTTTAGCGGATGAAAATACTGTTGCAATGGTCATTATAAACCCTGGTAATCCATGTGGGAATGTCTTCAAACACCAACATCTAAAGAAGGTGCCTAAATATTACGTGTTTCAGTTTGAGAGTGATCTAAAATGCGCACTAGGATGGTTTCTCATCTAAAGTAGTTTTTTGTTTCCTCAAAGATTGCAAAGACTGCACAAAAGCTCGGGATTCTTGTAATTGCTGATGAAGTGTATGACCATCTTACTTTTGGAGATACCCCTTTTGTACCTATGGGAGTTTTTGGTTCAATTGTTCCTGTTATTACTGTTGGATCAATATCAAAGAGGTGGATTGTTCCTGGTTGGAGACTTGGGTGGCTTGTCACTAATGATACCAACGGGATTCTTAAAGAACAAGGGGTATTCTTTTCTTTCCTTTCCCACTCTCTTTTACGGTCCGTTTGGAACCCAGAAAATACCATGGAAAGGAAATATATTTGGGCAAAAGAAAGTTTGGCAGAAAATAAAAGATAGGCATAAAATGGAAAGGTTTATTTTTTATATGGTTCATACTAGTTTTATTTATTTATTTCTACTAAAGTACTTCGTATTATAAAGACTAAGAAATTTGAAATTTAAGCATATTCATTTTTAAAAATTATCTTCCTGCTTAATTTTTAAGGTTAAACCAAACATAAGAAAGCAATTTAGTGTGCCTTTGTTGTATCCAAACATTATCATATTTTTAATTCGCATTACATAATCACATGTACATTTGTGCAAATTTTTGTTTTTTGCCATATCACTAGTAGCCTATTTAGACATGATGGTTACTAGTGCCGACTTTGAGTTGCAGTTTGGTGTGCAAGTATGAAACTATGAGTCATGTTGTGATTTGAGTGTTTGGGTTGACCGATACCAATTCATGTGTACGTATCATTGACTGAGCAATTTCAGAGAGTTTGGGCTCCATAAAAGATATTTTGGGTAAAATACTGATATGTTTTCCGAGGAGCAACTCAAAATGCTCCAAAGCTAAACCATAGATATAAAGCATGGTATTATATCGCTTACTGAAGCAACCCTTAACTTTCTCATGAATGATGATAAAAAATAATCAAGTGACCACCTAATATGAAGGAATGAGCTCAAAATGTTTTTGTATATGCAGGTTATAGATTGCATCACAGGTTTCCTCAGTATTTCGTCTGACCCTGCAACCTTTATCCAGGTTCTATGTCCATCAGCGTCTTCTCTAATAAGATTTTATCCTCTATTTTTCCTATTTTCTTGAGCGGCAGCTTTAGTTGGTATGGGATACTTGATCGTTTACCCATTTGGAGTTACTTTTTGAAACAAAATATTCTATTTCTGGTAAAGAGAGTGGGCTATGAAAAAATCATCAAACACCAGTTTATTTGTCACAAAAAAATCCCTTGTGTCATTCAATCCTTCAAATAAACTATGGCAGCAGATGAGAGGGATAAACTTTTGGCTTCGGGAATTCCAAGTGTTGGGAGAGTCTTCTAAAGTCCAGCAAATGACTGCTTCATTTGCTCATTTGTTTTCATATGCATATGAATATGGTCTCCCTTGTTTTTTTAAATATGGTCTTTTTTTTTCTTCGGTTTATTTACAGGGAGCTATCCCTGATATTATTCGAAATACCAAACCAACTTTTTTCTCTAAAATTGTAAATATATTAAGAGAAGCAGCAGACATCTGTTATGACAAACTGAAGGAGATCCCATGCATCACCTGCCCAAGCAAACCTGAAGGTTCTATGTTTGTAATGGTAAGATTCAGTGGCGGATCTAGCCTTTACATTTTGGGTGTTCAAAACTAAAGTAAAGTTAAAAGTATCACAATAATCATATATAATCCATTCTATATGACTTGCATACCAAGAAGAATTAAATTTGCGCTTACCTCCAATATCAGAAAGTGGAAAATCAATATTATAAATTTGTGTTGGACCATTGATTAGATACTGCCTCCTCACACTTTCCTGACTATCAGGATGAAATTGTTCAATTGGCTTTCTTTTAGCAGGATCAGCTTCCAATGGAATCACTTCAGATTGTGGTTGAGACTTGAGAGGATGAACCAATACTATCTCCTTTGAATTTTGGTGTCACATGAAAGTAGCGTGTTAACGCTACGGTTTGTTGATTTGGATTTTCCATTAAATTCTTCAAACCTGTTTACGAAAATAATACTCTTATTCATTAACAATAACACAAATTAAATCACCATAAATAATATTATCGAAATATAAATACTAAACCAATCAACAACTCATTCAATTTAATAGTTATCTAGCTAAATTCTATCTAGTGGGTCATTGATTTTCTACACACTGTACACCTACAAAGTAGTGCCAGCCTGCCAGGAGACTGCCTATCTACTTCTTTTTACTCTCTGCCACTTCATATATCAAATATCAGTAAATAATTTTATCACTCCAAATTTATCAACTCTGAAAAGGGGCAGAAAAGATACAGAGATTGGGAGCATTTCATTATTTCAATAATCTGTAGCCATACATCAGTGCATCACTACATCATAACATCATTCTTCATCAATCATCATACTTCTTCCGATTTTCAAACTCAAAAATCAAAAATTAAAATACAAGTTTGAAATACATAAACAAAGCAAGCAAATGAAGCAATCAACTACCTGCAGTACAGGCACAACAGTAGAATCTGGAGCCTAAAGGCTGTAGGAGTGGAGGGAGGCTAGACGCTGGAGCTTGGGTGTGGTCTGTGTGCGGATCTGCTGACGCAACCCACAAAGCACCAGACTGGCCAGAGCGTGAGCGCGGCAGGGGCGGAATCGGCAGAGTCGCGGGCTCTCGGCGGGCTGGTCGCCGGAGAATCTAGAGCTTGGACTCTACTTGAGTGCCTTTGAGCCAGAGATCTTTAGTTCTTCACTCTTGGTCTGGAGGATGAGAAGTAGCCGCTCCGATTTCAGGAAATCAGGATTGGGCTAGGTTGGACTACCGCGTAAGAGCTAAACGACTGTATATTTTTTTTTTTTGTAAAACACATCAAAACGACGTCGTTTTGATTAAAAAAAATTGAATTTTTTGGTAGTTCAGCTGAATACTCTTGAACACTAGGCCGTCCGCCCCTGGTAAGATTTGTATTGTCAAAATCATTTAACACTTTAACCTAGAACTGATATACTCCGTAGTTAAATTGTTATAACATGAGTTTCCAACTTGTCAGGTAAAACTTAATTTGGATCTCTTGGAAGACATTTTAGATGATATGGAGTTCTGTCTCAAGCTGGCTAAGGAGGAATCAGTGATAATTTTGCCAGGTACGACAATGCAAGCCCCCCCCCCCCAATGGATAAACCCAGTACTTGTTTAGAAATAGAGACTATATCTGTTCTTTGCTTCTAAATATTTACTTTTTTCATGTTGTTCTTGTAGCATTATATTCTGATAAGATTAGTGACAAAAATATGTGCAGGATTTGGGGTGGGACTCAAGAATTGGCTCCGAATAACTTTTGCAATTGAGCCATCAACCCTTGATGATGGACTTGGAAGGCTCAAGGCTTTTTGTCTAAGGCATGCCAAGAAATAGTATGCTATCAGGCAGGATATTATCTTCAAATGAATAATTCTATTAAGTGTTGGTGATGTGGTGTCTAACTTCTTGTTGGATGTCAACCATTGGAAGGACAATGAAATGCTTGTGTGTTCTATTGCTTGTTTTTTGAAATATAAAGCGTCATGTCATTTCTAGATTTGTATAATCACTTGTACAAATAATAAGTGCTTCGGCTTGTTAAAGCACATGCTATGAAAGTGATCATTCAATTGATTATCAGCTGCAAATTCTTTGGTGGATTCATTGTTTCTTGCTATGAATTACTACGTACTACGTATTATATTATTGGAGATGGCTTTTGTTTTACTTATAATACCAATTGTCAAGACTTAGAAGTAGTCATGGACCCGGTTCGGGCCGCCCAGCCCGGGACCGGCCCGGCCCGCCACTGTGCGGGCCCGGAACCGGCCCGGTTCTTGGGTCCGGGTCCGGGTCCGGGTCGGGCCTAGGCCCGGTGGGGGGGGGCGGGTCCGGGCTCGGGCCTTGTATTTGGCGAACCGGCCCGGCCGGGTCGGGCCGGGGCTGAATTGATTTTTTTTTCATTTTTTGGGGTTAGCCGGGTTGGGCTTGATGGTTAGGAGGGGTTTGGGGGTTTGGGGGGGTGGGGGGTGAGGGGGGGGGGGTTAGGAAATCAAAAAAAAAAACAAAAAAAATATGACCGAACCGGAGGCCCGGCCCGGCCCGGACCCGGACTGGACCCGGTGGCTACCCGGGCCGGTCCCGGGCCTTCCTTCCCAAAAAAAAGCCCGGCCGGGCCCGGCCCGGGTCCATGACTACTTAGAAGTTAAATCTTAGAAAGCCGAGAGAATATATAGAGCATGCTAGTGTGCTCACTAAGGGGCACTAAGGAGCACGTTGGCACGATGAATGGTTGAGATTCCCTAAATCTTTTAAATGAATAAATCTTTGTCATACTTGTCTCAATTTCCTTCTCCCAATTTGTTTTTCGTTCTATCTTTCTGCTTAAAAATAATAATTAAATTTCATCTTTCTTTTTTCATATCCCACAATTCCCCACCTCTCTCTATATCTCTCCAAGTCTCCAACTGGACAATTCCAGTCACCGGAGAGGAGCAAAATTCCCTTCTTAGTAAGCATGCTAACATACTACATATATTTTCTATTAGAAAGCCTACATAAAAGTAAAACAAAGTTTTATACTCCATATGTTGGTTGGATTAACATAAATCTTCAATTATGTTTTTTTTGCAAGAAGAAATCTTCAATTATGATATCACCTCCAAGTAGCCCAATTCAAATATAATTACAGATATATGTAGCATACAAAGATGAAAAATTATTATAAAAAAGGAGCATTAAGTTTTGACTTTAAAAAAACCAGTTGTCTGTGACAGGCGAAATTTATGTGAAGGTCAGACATGTGTACACATTTTGTGTACACATTTGATGTAAACATAGCAAAACTATATAGCCTCTAGTATCACCAGATTCATATTCATTTTGATTTTGTTCGCCACTTAAACATGGTCACAGATCCAATACAATGATCGAAAGTCAAAAGGTACCCAACGGACTTGTCTCCAAATTTCTACCGTTAGAAAATGCGTCTATCTCTACACATTCAAGCCCAATACAAAATGGTCTGAACTGAATCCACCCGAAAGATACCCAAACTCTAGCCCCTTCAACGGTTCTTTCTTCCATTTTCACAACTTCGCAAAATCCCAGCACTGAAACAGGCCGGCCATGGATACAACACCTCCGTCTCATCGTTCGAGCAGAACAAGATCGGCTTCAAGACTCTCCCCGCTCCGCTGTTTCAATGACCTCGAATTTGAAACTCTAAATGTGGGGCCCTCTCCCTCACACTCACCTTCTGCTTCATCTCCGAAGCCCCCTAATAGCGTACCGATCCGCGATATATTACTTATGTCGCCTTCTCTTGTTCGTAAGAAGAGTTCCCTTTCGGCCGAGAAGCTTGAAATAGCTGACAATGGTGTGGAGCTCAGCGGAGGTCGCAGGAGATCCAGGATTAGGAATGTGGCCTCTCCCAGAAGTTGCAGGAGATCGAGAAGGAGGTTAGAGATAGAATTGGTGAAAGAAGAGAAAGATTTGGGATCGGGAGAACAAATTCATAAGCCGAAGAAGAAGAAGCACAGTGGTAGATATAAGAAAGATAAACTTGGCTTAGTTCCAATACCATCTCCAAGTATACTCACTTTTCCTTTTATTCTTCTTCTTTTTCTTCATTTTTTGTACTTTGTGGAATTGTGGGTGATAAAATTTATTTATTTATTTATTGCCGATGGGTTTTTACAGAATCAATTGAAGGTGAAGGGGAAAATCTGGATAGAATAAGTGAGCAGATATATGATCTGGTGTTGTGGAGGGATGCAGCAAAATCAAGCCTTTGGTTTGGGTTTGGTTCTCTCTGCTTTCTGTCTTCTTTTTTTGCCAATGGAGTTAGCAAAAGGTATGCCCATTTCTTCACTTATATTCATATCTGCCAAATTCCTACAAAGCTCTAATCTTAATTCTAGTTTTGAAATTCACTCATAATGTGGCTGCAGTGTTGTTTCTGTCGTGTCTCAAGTTGGCCTGCTGTTTTTGGTAGTATCATTCTTCTCGAATACGTTTCGTCCCAGGTATGTTTCTATTGAAGGATACTTACTGCAAGATTTAGTATCCTATTTCAGAACTAAAAATGGTACGGATAATTGAATGTTCAGCCACAATGTTGAAGTTAAGCCGGAAAGAAGGCTTAAAGAAGAAGATATTCGTAGAATTGCGAGATTGATACTTCCTTCAACAAATCTTGCAATCTCGAAGACAAGGGAGTTGTTTTCTGGAGAGCCTGCCATGACCCTAAAAGTAAATGTTACGTGCTTGTGTGTATTGAATGATACTACTTGCTGAGTATATTGAAATAGGTCAGAGTTGGAACTGAGAATGCTGGTTGTTTTTGTGCTTTAGGTAATACCATTCCTTCTGGTTGGAGCTGAGTGTGGCCATCTGTTTACTCTGTGGAGACTATCTGCATTTGGTAAGGGACTAACGCCATTCTTAGGCATTGAGACATTGTGGGAGGAAAGAAAATATGTGAGGAAAATAAGAAGACAGTTTTGATTTCCCCTTCTTTGGGAGTAGTTGGTATAAGTAAGTGAGAAGCAGATGTTTTTTTCTTTTTGAGTCAGTTTGGAAAAATATAAGCATGAAGGGAAACTTAGAGGAAAATTAGAAGGAAATAAAATTCGAGAGAAAATAAAAGATAAGTTAAAAGCCTAAAATTAAATGATTTTTTAGATATATGCTAAAAATATATAACCAAATATCAAATATTAAGTCTTCTTTCTATTCTTGTGATTCATCCAAAACATACCTTTTTTCAACATATTGGATGAAAATAAATATAAAACTATACAAAGTAAAGGTGAAATAGTAAATTGCAAGATTTTACTTCTCTCCCAATCAAATAAGAGCAAAATGAGGAAAGTAAATATTTTCTTAAAGATAAGAGAAGTCCCAAATATAGAGAAAATGACAACTTTATAGTCCAAAAACATATATACAACTCTGTATATGGCACAGAAGTTACTCCTTTTCTATTTTGGCGAAACCCAATTTTCTCTTCTTCTTCTTCTTCTTCTTATATTAAAGCTTCATTTCCTTGAAGTTTATTTTTGTATGTTTAACACTGAGTAGTACTTCTCATGTAATTCATAAATATATAAATTTCATCACTAATACAAGGAAAAAAATTCTAAGGAATTTAACGGTAAAACATGATTTAACAAGGTGCATCAGTGCATGTAAACTGCAGCCAACTTACGGTTACATATATTATGCTGCTTTGGCAGGGTTTTTCATCAGCTTCATTGTCCCAAAATTATATTCGTCGTGCTCTAGCCAAATATGTATAAAAGGTATTTAAATGGTAGTGTTATTAATCCCTTACTAGTAATTACTATCTCTCTCTTTAAACACAACTGATCATACATCTCAACATGAACAGCTGAGAGCTTTAGATATTGGGCCGTAGAGAGATGGGGAGGTTGTTCTTACAAGAAGACTATAGCAGCATCTGTATTGATTGCCTTTTGGAACCTTACCTCTATCAGAACCCGCATATTTGCTGGTAAATTTACTAGTTATTGTTGTTTGATTTATTTTCATCATTCTCACATAAAAGTTCTGCAAGGACTAACTTTGACATTTTGCTGGTTTTTCTGCAGCATTCATATGCTTTGTAGTAATTAGATATTGTAGACAGAACTCAGAAGAAAAAGCTGAAGAAGAGACTGTTATAGGAGAAGTAAAAAAGAAAAGAGATGAAAATGAAGATCACAAGGCATTGATTGTGTTTGAATGAATTCCGCTTGGCATTACTTCTTGTTTTTTATGTATAAAAATAAAATCCTCTGGACCTCAATATTTGGGCCATAGTTGAACAAATAAATTGGTGTGCATCATCTTCATATCCAATGAAATCTTATACTTCGTATATGAGGTAAGGGTCAGATGGTACTCGAAGTTGCATAAAAAGGGTCAAATAAGTCATTATATTGGAGGCTTTGTCCAGCCGTTGCCATTTGGGACGGTTCCAGGTGGAATTTTTTGACGAAAGTTTTTGAACATCTTATTCATTAAGTCTACTTTACTCATACCAAATTTCAGCTAAATATTCAACCGGGAAGACATTCAAATGAATTCTTGAAGATAACTGCACAGTTAAAAGTGCATTTATCTTCACGAATTCATTTGAATGCCTTCCCAATTGAAGTTTTAGCTGAAATTTGGTATGAGTAAACTAGACATAATGAATAAGATGCACAAACAATTTCATCAAAAAATTCCACCGGGAACCGCCTAAAATGGCGACGACCGGACATTAAGGACTTATTTCACCTTTTTTATGCAACTTCGAGTACCAATCTGACCCTTACCTCCTTTATATATATAGAAAGATTTATCTACAAAAGAAGAAGTGTGAACACTACTGCGGCAGTACGGAGTAGTAGTTTACTATCCAACTATTGAAACTGAATGAATATTAATAATAATTAACATTAATATGATAGAGTCAAAGATTCATTATTTTTTGTCTTGAGAATATGATGGAATAAAGCAAAATGACCCACTAAACTGTCTGCGCTTCTTTGTAGGCAGTGGCGGATCTAGCGCTTATATTTTGGGTGTTCAAAATCACATTTAAACTACAATTTCAAATGATAGTATGAACATTAATTTATGCAAGAATTATGCAATTTTGTCATTCCAATAAAAAACTACGTCCAGTAAATTATATACTTATCTTTTTCAGTAAAAAACTATTAAATTAATAAATTTTTCCTAAATTATTACACCTGTCGAAAGAATTTTCAGACAGATATGTTTTACACGATTATTTTCAAACACTAAGGCACTAGTATTTTCAGAAAGAAAATTATTCCCTCTGGATAATTTTATTTCAACCATGAAAATACCAATTTACAAGATATATGCAATCTCCTCTTTATGGATTTGATTAGCATTGATATGGATAATGGATGTCAAATAACACCGTGGCACACCCAAAATTTTCATGTGGTTAATTATGCTTGGACATACTCATACTCACATACTCCCTCCCATTCACCAAAAAGTGAAATTTTTTACTTTAAGAAGAAATAACCAAATGGTTTGGACGAATGATGTATTATTTATGTAGAGGTAAGTTTTCTTGTTGAATTAAATAGTTAGGGGAGTTTATAGAAATATGAATAAAAACATCATGGAATTCCAAAGTATAATTAATTACTTTCTTCGTCTCTTATCACTTTGTCAAGTTTTATTGGTACGAAAAATAATAAAGTAAAAAATTTTCAAAAGAGGGGATATACATACAAAAAATAATATAATACGGAGTAATTGATTAAAAAAGAAAATGACAACTTTTTTGGACAACCAATAAAGAAATATGGTTAAATTATAAGTAATAAGAGTACTATGGAGTATATTTTTCTGACCAAATTACTTTCATTATAAATGAATATAGAGAGTATCACAAATACTAATACTTCCTGTGTTCGGAAAAGAATGCAACATGAGCCTGGGCACAAAGATTAAGAAACAAAGAAAAAGTAATATACTTACTTATTTTACCCTACAATGTACGTATAAACCAAAAAGCTCATGAAGTGCTACATTTGCACATCAATCAAACTTTTCATTACATCCACATACTAATACGGAGTAAATCTGAAACATTTTCCTCCGTTACGAACTTCAGTGGATCCGCCTTCACCGGAATATTGAGCAGCGACAATGGTTTCGCATATTCTCCTTGATCCCGAATAGGTAGCCTCTCTTGCCGCTTGAACGTGAGGTGGGGTATCCGGAACCACTACGGACATGTTTACTTCACAGGTTACTAAACGGTGCTTATTAAGACTCGCGTTAATAAGCGACGCATAAAATAAGCAATGTTTTAAGATCGTGCTTACTTCACAGAGTTTAAAGCACCGTTTAACATTAAAATGTCCAAAATAACCATATACATATATAAACGCTCAAACATTCATGAACACAAGTATATAATATAATATAATGTGTGGGGTCACCTCGTACATGTACCTATACCCCTAACCCCTAACCCCTCCCTATAACCCCACGTGCCCCCACCCCTACCCTACCCCTACCCCCAATTCCACACCCTTGACCCCTACCCTACCCTACCCTACCCTTACCACGATAGGGGGTGGGTGGGGGTAGGATGGCGGTAGGGTGGGGTTGGGATCAAAGTGGGGCCAAAGTAGGGGCATGTGGTGGGGTAGGGCTAGGGTGGGGGTGGGGCCAAATGGTAGGGAGTCGGGTAGGGTCGTGGTTAGGGTAGGGGTGGGGATGGTGGGTAGGGTGGGGTTGGGGTAGGGTAGGGGTAGGATAGGGTGGGGCTGGGGGTAAGGTAGTGGGTAGGATGGCGCTAGGGTGGGGTCGGGGTGGGGCCAAGGTAGGAGCATGTGGTAGGGGGTAGGGAAGGGGTGAGGTATGGTGGGGTCGGGGTAGGGGTAGATGGGGTGGGTTCAGGTTGGGGTGGGCCGAGGTAGGGGTAGGCTAGGATGGGCGGTAGGGTGGGGCCGGGATTGGGGTGGGCCGAGGCACGGGCAAGTGGTAGGGAGTATGGGTGGGATGTGGTGGGGTCGGGGTAAGATAGGGTAAGGGTAGATGGCGAGGGAGGGTCGGGATCGGGGTGTGGACGAGGTTGGGGGTAGGGTCAGGTGGGGTTAGGGTAGGGGTAAGGGGTAAGTTACGAGGATGGAGGGTAGTGGGTAGAGTGGGGTCGGGGTCGGGGTCGGGGGTAGTAGGGTTGGGCGAGGTGAGGGTAGCAGGCGAGGGTAACAATAGTGTAAAAATACAAGGGGCAAATTCGGAAACTGAAAATGTTTAAACTTCCGTTTAATTAATACATGGGGAGGGGGTATGCTTAGTAAGCGGCACCTTAAGCACCTCTTTCGGTTAGTAAGCTGCTGTTTAAGTAGCGTGCGTGTTTACTTCATCAGTGTTACTAACCTAACTGTGTCTTTTAGGGGTGGGCGCGGTCCGGAACGGTCCGGGAAATTAGTAAACCCCGTAATGTATCCGTGAGATTTCTAACGGTCCGGTTCAATCCGGTTCTAAGGATGGGACCATTCGGTACCGTGTCGTTTCGGAACGGTACAAAACGGTACGGTACAATGCCAAACACATGCTAAAAAATTGGACAAATCTTGCAATTAGTAGATATCATAACACCAATCAACTCACATGAAATTTCGATATAAATACAAGAAATTGCATACGTAGTACTAAATTTCACAAACACACAAATAATGCAACATAACTAAGAAAAAGTATAGCAAAAGATGATACATGAGATAAATATCATCTTAAATTTACTAAGTTCATGTGAAAATATAAAAAGAATATCATCAAATTGTTGAATGTAATAGAAAAATTCATCGTTCTTCTTCTTTGTTCTTGGTAAAATATTAGTTTTAATTTAATTTATAGTTGAATGTGAGAGGTAAGTTTTAAACCATATTAATTAAGTTGTAAAATTGTGCAAACATGATGCAACAATAAGTCATATACACTTGATTACTAAAAATGAACAGTCATTAATAATTTCTAAAACTTTAACTTTCTTTCATTATACATATAAACACACACATTTAGATATTTTAGGGACACATGAATACGGGTTGGAAATTGTTGGCCTATAAAATAGATTTATTGGTGTCAAAAAATATAAAAATTCAAATGTATTGTTTTTGAACGGTCCGGTCCGGTATTTTTCGCTTCTCAAAATCTAGGACCGGTCCCGTACCCGTTTCAAACGGTACGATTTCGGTTCGGGATAACAATCTATAGAACCGTTTAAATACCCGATATTCGGTTCGGTACCATTACGGACCAGTTCGGTTCGGGTTTTATGCCCACCCCTAGTGTCTTTAGCAGCGAAGTAAAACCTCCTAAGTCTTCCAAGTCGTTCAACTGGTTCATTACATCGCGGGGGAGTATGCGGAGCAAGAAAGTACTCTTCATCCTGGTTGAAGTCTTCGATTTCCCTTTAATACGAAGTATGTTTTATTTGATATATTTTTTTGTTTTTTTCATTTTTTTTTACAATTTTATTATAAATTAATGTTATTCCTTTTATGTTTTAATTATTAATGAAAGTTGTTGGGACTTGGGTAGGGATATACTTGTCTAAACACTAAAGTTACTCCTATTCAAAACATGGTACTCCAATTTTTGCATTTTGCCTATCTTTTACTCCTATTTGGGGAATTCTCTCTTCTTTATTTTTCCAATCTTTGTTACCCTTGCTGCCTAGGTGATTTAAATGACGAAGTTGTTTTGTAATTTTTGAAATAAAATTAATAAAATGTGGTTTATCTATTTTTTATTTATTTTCAAAATTTTTTATTTTTTTTTAAAATATTTTTTTTAAAATATTTTTTTTTAATTTTTATTATGTAAATATATTTTTTCAGATATTTTAGAATTTTTTTTATATTTTATTAGGATCAAACATGTCATATCTTAGAATTAACTAGGTTAGGGGTATTAAGGGTACAAAATTAATGTTTACTCCTATTGAAGAAAGTTTTAAGTTTCACTCCTATTTGTGCAGCTATGTTTATGTTTACTCCTATATTGGGCGATTTCTCAATAAAGAATGAAAGTCAAGATGGTGGAATAAAGATGAAGATCAGGAATTGTGGAGGCGGTGGAATGAAACGAAGGTGGGTGGAATGAGTGGTAGGAGGGTAGAATAATTGAGGGTATAAAGGGTATTTTAAGTGTTATATATTTCCTAAATTGGAAAGGTTGCATTTAATTTGAAAGTGCCGAAAGTGTAAAGTGTTGCATTTATTACAGAACAGAGGAAGTATGTAGTACTGCGTATTATATTTGGTAGTATTTCCCAAACATGATTGTAATTACTTATTACATAAAGGAAAAAATAGAAATATTTTACAATTTCACATTAATTTAATCATATTTAGAAATTTTTGTTTTAGTTGAGCCATGAAATTACTGATTTTAGTTGAGCCATGAAATTAAAGTAATTATCCTAAATAGGACTAAAATAATGATAAAGTTCCACAATAGGAGTTCCTCTTGTTTTATTCCCTAAATAGGAGAGTTGACTAACTCGTTTCTTTTTCCAGTTTTACCCCTCTTTACAAACACTTACCCTTATTTTTCCGTCGCACTCTCGATCTCCAGCACGTCTTCCCTCTTTCTTCATCTCTTATCCCTTGTTCTCTCTCTTCTCTCCCCTATCCGCTGGCAGACATGGATTTACAGCCTTGTTCTCTCGTTTCTCCATCTCCATCGGTAAGTTTTCTCTTCTTTTCTCTCCTTCTCAACATCTTCCTCCTCTCTTCTTCTTTCTGGTTAATGAGGCAATAAAATCTTATTTGGCTAGATCGATCTAATTGAAATTTGAACCCAATCCAGATCCACACTAATTGATGAACTACCATGTTTTCTCATCAATTTATTTCTCCAACCGTATGTATCCCAAATTTGTTGTTTATGAGATTTTAAAATTGAAGATGATTGCTATATGTGTCTCGCCTCTGCTCCTAGATTAGACTGAATTTTTATTGGGTTTTTGCTTCAGTGTTCTTTATTTCCACTTTTCCAGATCTATTTTTATTTTGTATTTTTTGATTTCCTCCTTTTTTTCTCTTTCCATTTTTTTCTTCGGATTTGAATCTGAATTACTATTTTAATATCATAAAGTTAAAACAATCTGCAGAAAAAATATTTTTACATAAAAAAACAGGATATTATTAGTGTTATTTTTGCAAATAATTACACACTCTGCCATAAACAATATGAGAAAAGGTTAAAATACACGTTGAAAGAGACATTATTAATATGAGTCACAAATCCAAAACATTATTTTTTATTGTCGTGTTTTTCCATGTGAAAAAATTATTTTGACATTTAATGTCATTATGATGACAAATTTAATGCTTTTAATGCCACGTTTTTGCACATTATTGCCATATGTATGCCACTAATTCCATCATGATGACAATATTATTCCCCATATAAATACATGATTTATAATGCCATGGAAGTTTCAAGATGGAAATAACATTCATATCCTCTATTTTAAATTGTTAGATGGCATTCAAACTGTCGTATGACATTTTAGAAAACCCTTTCCAGATCTGAGAATGGAGATTGTAGATCCACAAGAAACAAAGGTGGCGGCGGCAGATGAGGCGGCAGCGCTAGTGAATGAATCAATGGTGGCGACAATGACGGTCAAGGCGGCAGCGGAGATGGCGGCGGCGGCGGAGATGATGGCAGCGGCGTCGGCGGCGGAGATGACGGCGGCAGAGACTACTGCGGCGACGGAGATTGTGGAGGTCTGAACTGCAACGGTGGCTGATGCATGTGGTGGGTGGAGCGGTGTACGTTCAAGAGAAGACCTTGTCTGCAACTTTTGTTTTATAATTTTATTTATACGGAGTATTTGAGTAAAGAAATGGGAGCTTTCATTAAGGGTAGATTGGTCAAGCCATTTATTTTTACTCCTATGTAATCACACGGAACAATTGAATCCTAGTTTTACACTTTTGTTATATTTTACTCCTATTTAAAGAATTATCTCATGAAATTACTGTCAATATAACAATGTGAAACAAGAAACGGAACAAAATCTAGCTCATAATTAATGAAGAACGTAACCGGTCATAACTTTTTTTAGTAAGGATGTTTTTGAGTCCCAAACCAGACCAAATCAAACCAGATTATAGCAGACCAAACTAGATTAGACCACACCAAACATGAATAGTTATAAAATACACAGAGACCAAAGGTTTATCAAACTAGACCAAACCAGACTAGATCAGACCAGGAAATTCCAAGTAAAAACATCCTAAATCACCTAGATGGGTGGAGTAATGACGGAAAAACATTTACAAGATTTTATTAGAGAATATAGTACGTAGCTGATCGGATCGAGTTAATAACACAAAGACAGTGAGATAAATACCAAGCGATACAACCCCATTGTTAACAATGTTCTTGCACATGCATGCATGAACAAGAACATGGCAAAAATTAGGAGAAGCTAAATAAAGTGGGGCAAAAACTGCATTTCAACTTCATCTAATTAAAGGGTATGAAATGTCGTCAAATTGGAAGGCTTTTTCAATTTCTTTGGCCAGAAAAAACCTCAAAAAAAGTTCGAGCGCCCGCACAGTAATCATCCGATGATCAAACACGGCGGCAGCGCGGGGTGGGCACCATAGATATTCCATGGCGCTGCAACTCCTTCATAATGGAATCTATGGATGGAGGTTTCAACCCTACTGGAAGTGGCAGCCATGGTTTTGATAAAACATCTCCAATAGCTGTGTCTATCATCTCCTTGGCCTAACAAAATTGAGATCATATCTACACTTTTAGTGTCAATTAATTAATAATACCAACTTCCATAAAACAAAATCAGGTATAGTATAAGTTAAATTAGCATGTTTAATTTATCCTGATGAATATATTATGGCTAACCGCTTACCGCTACACTATATGATACAATAAGAATGTAAACAAATTTTAAAACAAGATTAATTGGACATGGTGTAAATTTTGAACATACAATATTTTCTTTTTTGAAAATCATACAATATTATAATATTATTATATTTATCCCAATAGAATAAATGTATCATACTCCGTTTTACTACCGTACTTTTTAACACTTCTCTCTATTTTTTATCATCAAAACAGACCTCTATTCATATCAAAAGATTCGGGATCATTACATCAACCAAAGAGAAAATAAAACTGACACCAACTGAAACTCCAACAACTACGACCGTAACTCTATGGTGAGACTTTGAGACGGTCACCCCTGAAAGAGCAACACAAATCGCAAACCATGTAGTGGGCTTGATGTGACACTCCAAAAATTTAAATAAAAATAAAAATATTTTAGATAAAATGTTATGGAAATGGCATTTTAATTATTAAGTGAGTCAAACAAAAATTCAATAGTCGTGACATTCTAATCAGATAAAATTTCAAAATTTACGTCGTTTTAGTCAGATAAAAATATTTTAATAATAGAAACAACATTTTATTAAATAAGTGAACCGGACAAAAATTTAACATTTGTGACATTTTTAGTCTGATAAAAGTGGGCCGATATTAGACGTAACGTTTTATAACGAATACTGATTATACTTATGGCATAAGTAATAAAAGTTAATTTTTTTAACACGTAATTTGTACAAATTACAAATTCGACTTTGCTAATGTTAACATACTCCTAAAGTCCTAATACGGAAATATATACTCCAATATTAAAAGTGATAATTTTATAACCTTGAAAGTGAGAGTTGTAAAATAATAAAATACACAATATACCTAACATACTCCGTGGTTCATATGCTGGGATTGTTGGGTATACACAAATATACATATATAGTATATACTAAGAATAAATTAAACCATAAAACTATGGATTCACACGTGAGACTGATTTTGATAATCATGCCACCTAAATTTCACGCACTCGTATTCAGACTGTAAAGAGGCTATATACATTCCTTTTAGAAATAAACTCAACCTACGCCGCAGTTTACTCTAACGTATGCGGATATGCGGGATTGGATCAACTCAAACCCCTAGCGACTGAAATACAACCTAGAACCTTCATTCGAGTAGTATAAATAGAGGAGAGAACGCCACAGAGTGTTTCATCTCAAACTCAGTCGCGTATACATATATATTCATAGCTATACGTATATATACACTATTTTCGACCCTTCGTTTAAGTCAAAACCGACTCTTGAAAACACTTTGGAGACCTTCTCCTTCGCGAGAGGAATCCAACGGTGAAAGAATCATAGAAAACGGTCGTGAAACGAGAGAGATATCGCTTGCCGGAGTTTGCCGGGCTAACCGTAACGACGGAAAACGGAGAAGAAGAAGTAGCCGCCGGCGCCGCCACTCCATTTCCGACCATCTCCGACCCAAGAGGAGCCCGCTACCGCCGCGGTTCACGCGTCCGACGAGGTAAGCCCCTCCCCCGGCGTATTCCGTTTTCCGGCGATCAAATGAGGAAGATGACACTGTTCACTTTCTTTTTTTATTTATTTATTATTGGGCCGTTTCTTTTGTTTTGTTATTCGGGCCAGAGCTATTGGGCTGAATAATAATAATAATAATAATAATAATAATAATAATAATAATAATAATAATAATAATAATAATAATAATAATAATAATAATAATAATAATAATAATAATAATAATAATAATAATAATAATAATAATAATAATAATAATAATAATAATAATAATAATAATAATAATAATAATAATAATAATAATAATAATAATAATAATAATAATAATAATAATAATAATAATAATAATAATAATAATAATAATAATAATAATAATAATAATAATAATAATAATAATAATAATAATAATAATAATAATAATAATAATAATAATAATAATAATAATAATAATAATAATAATAATAATAATCTGCAAAATTATTAATAAAATCAGGAATGGAATTAGTAATAATGATATTGGCTTGGTTGATTGATAGTGATCACTTAGATAAGTTTTGTTAATTGTTAGTTATCATAATTACACAATGATAAATGATGAAATGAATTGTTGGTTAATTAATATTATATTAAAATAGTAATAAGTCATTTTGATGTAGTACCATAATTAGTTTAAATAAAATTGGATGGATATTATTTTCACAACTTATTGGATTAATTGAAGTAGATTAATAAAATTAAATCACGGACTCGAAAATATTAAGTGTTTGAGTAATTAATAAAATCAGAATACGTTAATAACGATTAGTTAGTTTAAATAATTGTTATAATATTCGGATTTTTGTTTTATATAATTATTGGGTAAATACTATAGGTGTTAATAATATTAAAGGAATTGTGACAAACTGAGATTAGTTAATTAATAGCTTTTATTATCGGGCTAGATTAAAATTAATAAAGGATTATTGTATTAATTGCGGAATTAGTGAAATAGTCTAAATAATATAAGATGGTTATTAAGTACGAACATACTTGTATTAAGCTATGATTGAAGTAATTTTAATATGTTCATAATTCGTATATTTTTGTAATATAGTTAATTATTTAAAAGTTTTAATGGTGTTTAATAAATTAAAATGTGATATTGTAGTTAATTATATTCGGATATTTTATTATAGAATTCAAATATTGTAATTAATGCCTGAATTAATAAGGTAATAAAAAGTGATTAACTAGAATTATTAATTAATTAAATTAATAAGTGCGAATAATAAAATAAAAAGGGAAAACAAAAAAAAAAGTATCGGGTAAAATAATTACAATTAGAATAAGTGACTAATTATATCATCTTAATTAAAAAGGTGAATATTTAGAGATCGGAATTGAAGAAGAGAATTAGGAGCATCGGGACTTAAGGTAAGTTTCACGTCAACCGAAATTAGTCCTTTTTACTTCGTGATTTCTTTGAATATTTTTGTGTGCATATTTGAGAATTGAATTTATGTGTGCTGAATTTGATTAAATATTATTCTAGGCAAGTGTTTGAATTTGATATATTGGTTGATATATTGGGTTGTTATTATTATTGATATGAGTTATTGTATACGATTTTGGGAGATTTTTGGTAAGAGTAAATATTTTGTTATCATTGTTGGAGTTTTATGAAATGGAGATGTTAGTAGAAGTATGAACTTTGATTGATTTTGAGAAACAAAGAAAAATAAAAGTTTTCATAAAAGGTGAGCACCACGGGAGAAATCCGTGGTGCTGGTTTTCCACGTCCCTTAAAATGTGGAGGGTGGTTAGGTCTACTACTACTCAATTTTTGGTGGTTTTGATTTGAGGTGAATTGATGGTCGGTAGAAAACATCCCGGCTTTTTGAGTAGTAGTGGTAGTAGTAGCTCCTAATCATTCAGTTTTGAGGTGGGGTAGTTGGTAGAAAACATCCCGACTACCCGGATCAACTTACTAACCCGGAGGGCTTGGAATACCTTTAGGGGGTGTGCACACTTAAAGTAGTTGTTTCCGTTTCCATTGAGCAGTTGTGGTACCGGCAATAGTCCCGGGGTGGCCGTACATAACAACGGACCACCGGGCTCAACCAAAGTATTGAGCACCGCCCTTCTAAAGTACTAGGGAGTTAGTTACAAAGTGATTTTTGGGAGAAATTCAAAAGAGGAGAATCTTGGTGTTTCATGTATTTTGGAATTTTTATGGTATTTGCAAATGGTGTGGTTGGGATTTTGTATAGATATCATTTACTTATAATTTATAAAGTGTTTTGAAAAATGTTTTATGAGGTTGTACAAATTTATATATATATTATTTATTATTATTTTAAAAGGTTAGGTGGAACTTACTTAGCATTATTGCTAATGTTTGTTTTCTTTTTATTTTCTTTTGCTCGTTTCTAACAGGAGGTGAACATGTTGATTTTGATGTTGGAATGTTTGAGAGCGCGAACTAGAAGACCTTATCGTAGTTCACTAGAATAAACTTTAATATTTACTTATGATTCGAACATCTTGATTTTTATTTAATCTCATGTTTTGGTAGACAGCCTTAACATCCAATCATTCACGGATTGGATGTGGCGGTGACATACCCCTTTTCCTTTATTTTACCTATTTCCGCTGCAAACATTTGAATGTTTAAATAATAAATAAAAGTTCATTTCTGTTTCAAAGTATTATTTTGGGTGGAAAATTTGGGGGTGTTACACTTGACACTGCTAAACCTGTTCCCATAGATCCAACCATACCTAATGACATAAAGAGAGGCTAAAAACTCAAACAAATTGTCAAAACCAACAACAAAGATAAATACAAGAAAACAAATGACAAACAGATAAAAATTACTAGGAAAACTATCACGGACTCTAGCACCTAGTACAATCCATGGTGGTGGTTCAAGCGGAGGTCGGACCATCGCTCGATTGATACCCTCTTTCAGTGAAGTACTCGCCGTATGACCCAAATCCATGTCATCGAATGGAGCGTTCAGCCTCTCCACGCTAGTCATGTCTCGATCATCCTTATGTCTCTCTCGCTTCTTCCACCATCTTCTCGCTGCCACGATCATCCATCCCGAGCTACGTCCAAACCACATCAATCCGGCGCAGAGCTGCGTCGATTAAAAGAAACGCCGCACCAGGGCGGCGAAGTAAAATCCCAACGCGAAAGATCTCGCTACGGAAACACTAGCCGAACTTTGATCAAGAAAGATCGAAATCGGAAATTACCTAGCGACTGCTAAGTAGTTGTATTAAGCGGGTTAATTTTTTTTCTAACCGATTATATATTACGTACTTGGGTAGTATTATTATAGGGCACAGAGCAAAACTTAAAAAATAATTCTGAAATTCCTTTCACATATATACACATAAAATACATTTTTTTTTTCAAATTTGGAATTGAATGGGCATGACACCGTCATTAATCAGGCCCTCTTTCCTCCGCCATTCATATACACAATCATGCATGTCTTCAATCATTCATACAGCAGTCACAATCGGATTGTGGCAAACATCCAGGTCAATTTTATCGGATGTCCTCAACTAGTGACAAGATTGTTGCAAACATTTTGAGAGTTAAATGGAGTCATGCTATTTCTACACATTATTTGTACACATTTTTGACAACGTTGTCTATGTATACACTAACTTCTGAACAAATTATCTGTGTACACACGCAATTAAGAAGCGTGAAGAAAAAATGTGTACAAACTTGTTTTTCCAGAAAAGAAACACATAAATGGCAGCCAAACACGCGTAAAATACTCGTAACTCTTTTGTTGTTAAACATTGTCCATGTTGAATTGAAATAAGAATAAATAGCACTTATATATTTCTTTTTCAGTTCCCTTTTTGCAAATAATTTGTAGTTCACATTATTTTTACTCATTTGTACATATTCTCCCTTGCATAGTTCTCCTCCATACAATTCTTTTTTTTCTTAATATACAAAGATAATTCATGAGAGAGCTAGTATCTTATTCCATAAATAAAACTACATGTGTTTTTGTTATTGAAAATATAAAACCAGGGACGGAGCCAGAACTCAGTCATAAGGGGGCCAAGAACAAACACAAACACTAAAGAAAAAAATCTCTAAATAGGACAAAAAAAAGTTTATAAACAGGATTATCATTATTTTAATCTCAAAATAGGACTTATTGACTCCTATTTTGGGAAACTTTAATCAAATAATTTTTAATAGAACTAAATAAGATCTATTCAAGGAGTAAAACATATTTTTTCATATTTTTAATGAGGAATGATCCTTTTAGAATTATATGACGGGATCCACCATCCGGATGTCTGTGTTTGATGTGCTTCCGGATGGATTTTTTGGGTGAAATTTTATGACAATATTCTTCATGATGTGTAGATTATTGACACCTAATTTCAGTTTAAAATTCAATCGACAAATCAGTTAAATAAATTATTGAAAAACACTGTACCAAAAAATATATGAAAAAACTCAGTGTTTTTCCATAATTTATTTAATTGACTCTCCAATTGCATGTAAGCTGAAATACGATGGATATAATATACACTTTATGAAATACATGTTCACAAAAATTCATCAAAAAATTCTAACCGAAAGCATCTCACATAAAAGCTTCTATTGAGTAGTTTTGACCCAATTTTTACTGATTATTTCATTTATAATAGTAGTATTACTAAAAAATAAAAAAGTTGGGAGGGGCCATGGCCCCTTGTATAAAACTACATGTGTCATAATTAAAAGAAACCTTAAAAACTACTACCTCCTTCCCTTATTAAACTTCCAAATAGGTTTGGCACAGAGTTTAAGATAGTGGGTATTGTGTGGTGGAGAGTTGTGCAGAGGAGAGAGAAATCTGTAAGAATTGCTGTGAACCACAAATTCTGGCCAAAAAGGGAAAGTGGAAGTTTTAATTGGGACGGATGAAAAAGGAAAGTTGGAAGTTTATTAAGGGACGGAGGGAGTACGTAGTATTATTAGAGGAGAGGAGAGGGGCTGACCGGGTGAGAGTCTAGTGGGGGCGTAGGAATAGTTTGGGCAGCGGGGACACCAACGCAGCTGGGGTGTAATCCATACATGGGTAGATGGTCAGTGCCGGATACTACAGCAGCTCCACGTCGCTGCATCGCATTCAATAACATCAATCAGTAATAACACGTTGTACTGTACTACTTAAATACGGAGTAGCAAAAGATCTCTTCAATTCGGTGCGTGCCAAACCAATACCAATAGTACAATTACACAAATAGTTCTTTGTACATACAAATGTTGTACCAATCATCTATTATGGGGTGTTTGGAACTCAATTCTGCCTGCTTCATTTTAAAAGCAGAAGTAGAATCAGTTTTCAAAAGGCAATCACTTTCAACTTTTTAAAAAATTGATTCTAGGAGTAAATTATATCACCAGAATCACTTTTGCACTTTCACCCAAACACTCCATCTTCTGCTTCTGCTCCCTGAAGGAGTAGAAGCAGTTTTAAGAATCAGATCCAAACATCCCCTATATCAGACTTTAAACATGACAATATTTTAGAAATTGACAGTAATTCATCATATTTTGAAAACAAAAACATAACATTCATATTTTAAAATTTTCAAACGTTTTATTGCTATTTCGAGAATTTTCCCATTATTAACATGTTGTATGCACTTACACATTCGTTGTTGTAGGAATGCCAAAAGGAAAAGTCAGTTTGTGGTGGTGGCGGAGTCGCCGCGAATGACCATGCCGCCGGAGCAGACCAAGAAAGAGCTACTAAATGGTTAAGCCACATGTGCCCTAGTGATTGGCTAAGAAATGGATGACCCCACACATGCAAAGGGCTGACATGTGGCGTTTGGGGAGGGAAGAAGCCCACTGGTGGTGAAACCCACGAAGGTTTTATTCCTCTTTTCCCTCCCGCCCTTCCCATTTTCGGCATTCGGTTCCACTTCCTCGTTAGATGCGCTTCCCTCGCTTGCAAATGTTTATTGTGGGATCTATACTTCTGCACATTACAAATTTTACGCACAAGTCAGCAAGTATGCCATGGAGAAATTAATGGGAGGGACCAATCATTTACATTGACTTCGGTCGACCCAAACTGGTTGAATCCAATAATTGTATGAATTTGGAACAAACATATGCAAAGAATGATATGTGAACGGACATCCATTGGATTAGAACATGTAAGCATGTGTTTATCTAATACTCCGTAGTTGTAAAGTTGTAAAATAGATCAAGGTCTATGGTCGTGGTTGAACTGGTAGATATATAGTGTCACCAGACACCAATGATACATTTTGAGTTCGAATCATAGCAACCGCAACGAGACTAATGAGAGGTTAATTAATATGTAAAAATACATAGGACCTGTGCAAATATCTGTGTTATTGCTCATTCACTAATTCTTAATTTGTAATTAAATTCCAATTTATATTCGGACTAAAAAGGTCAAACATGAAGTGTCAAGAAAAAAATGACACCTCATCGGTCAGACCGAGAACAAATACTATGAATGAGACCAAATAATTGATCGAAGTAGTAGTGCTCACTTGAAGATGACTGGCAATGTTATGACGAGTGAGACATTGAACCCCCATGTGCTCCAAAATCCTTGAAGGGACTGCCTTATCCAAACCTAGCTTCTCCACCGACTGCACAAACCTTTTGTGCAGCTCTGGCGTCCAATCCACCTTTACACATTATTGCATCATATCAGTTTTTAGAGGATGAAATACACTAATGAGTCTCTTTCTCATGTTACTTTTGGTTGGATCTAATATCTTCAATTCCTCCATTCCGAAGTGTATGTTTAATCAAGACAAACGAATCAATATACCGGAGTATAATAATGATGCCTTGATAACAATAAAAAATTCAGACATAACTCTAAGTGAGACCTAATTACATTAGAAAACGTGAACACTGCATACTATATGTGAAAGAGATCGATATACACACATACAAATTAACAAGTGAAATTTGTCTTCTTATTGAACGATGTTATATATTTTTGATAAATTTTCATCCATAAATTAAAGTATAATGTTCAAATGTAGAATTCATGATTAACATTAGTGAGAAAAAGTTACAAAAAACATATTACATCCGTCCCTCAATTAAAGTCACAGTTTGACTTTTGAGTCAAACTTGTCAAACTTTGACTGTTAATTACTCAAACTATTACTGTGGATGTAAATCTATAGTCAAACTTGTACAAAAAATAATCTATATTTTTTTGAATATTAATCTATATGTTCTGATATGTGTTATTCAAATATAAATATATTATACTTGTTTAAAAAAATATAAATATATTATACGTAGTAGATTATATAGATATATATTTATAGATGATTAGGATCAAACGTGTGCCTAAATGATGGCAGAGTCAAACTGGTACTTTACCCGGCAAAAGTATAGAGAAATTGTAAGCCAACCTAACTTAATTAAGGTGAGAACTCCGGTACTCATTTAAAAAATGGGATATCGTACCTATAATTCAACTGCAATATTCTGATTGGTCCATGTAGACAAAGGTATCTGGCCTTAATTAAATGGCAAATTACCTTAACTTTCCTCTTTCCTTGTGAGCTGTTCTTCGGTTGCGCCAAGGACTTCTTCCTATGCGCACACTTCGACATTGTTTCTTCTCCTAGGTTCAAGCTTGTGAGGCCCGACCCAAGGTCCGAACCAGAACTGGACGGACCCAAAACATTCTTCGTATTAGCTTCTGGCGTCCTGGTCAACGTTGTAGCTTCCACCGCCACATCACCAAACACAAATGTACTGGTGGCGGTGGCGCTTTCATCATCCTTCGTCTGGTCGGCGACTGAGAGCAGTGCCGCCGGATCCGTCTTCAAATCTGGCAGCACCAGTTCACCGTCGTTTATCACCATGAAGAGGTCGTCGAAGTCGAGGCTGTCCAGCATGTAGTTGTCGCCGGTAAAGTCCGGGAACCCGTCGGTGCACCCCATTGGAACTCTTTCCGTCAGCTCTTTGCCACGCACTCTGATTTCATCTTAAGTTACCCGTCGCCGGAGATGGGGACACGTCCAGCATTGTTAACTTAATGATTCAACTCTTACGCCGGAAAGTATTTGCATGCAACGTTTTTATCTAAGTCAATTTATGACCAAAGTACAAATATTTTTTTGAGAGAAGTCCAAATATATTATATATTCTATTCAGAATCAATGATATATTTTGTTTGCTTTTGCAAGATCAATGGGGGAATGGATGACCACCACAACTTGTACAGAGAGCAGAGATTAGAGACACGTCTCTGGCTGGTATAAGTCATAGACGAAGTATTTGTTTTTTGTTTTTGTTTTGGCTTATTCTACGTATAATGTTTCCCAATACTACTGCCCTACTTGGACTTGTGGATGCCCTTATTTGAAGTTTAATAAAATAAAAAGAAATCTTTAATTTTACTACTTCTGGTAAGCTGTTTTCTACATTTTTATCTTGATATAAAGTTTATTATTTTTAAACAAATGCAAGTTGGCGATGGTCAGACAGATGGACACAGCAGGGGATGGATATGTATAAGTTCATGATTATCTCTTACTCCGTATATTTCAAGTTTGAATAAGTATATATGGATGGTAGATTCTATGGTACCCATAAGGTATCATACCTTTGCCTACATGGACCAATTAGAATGATGTAGTTGAATTATTTAAATCTAAATTAAAAGGGATATAATGATTTGGACCAATCAAATGCATGGTAGGTACAGTACCCCATTTTTTTAATGGGTACCAGAGTTGTCACCTATATGGATATTCTTACTCTCATTTCATTTTTGGTGTGTTTTCTAATCTAATCCCAACACTGTTACACTGGCATGAGTTTTAAATGAGAAACTTTTTAATTACTCTTTAATTTCTTTTTTTTATGGAATTTTATCAATTCAGGACCCGAAAGATAGATTAATTATCAATTCAAGACCCGAAAGATGAAACGTATCGGTATAGGACCCGAATGATGAAAAACTATCAATTTAGGACCTAATATTTCATAGGTTTTGTTTCATTTAATTTTTTATTAAATCCATTACTAATTTTTGGTAAACTTTTCTTCACAAAAGTTTATTAGTTTAATAAAACTAATTAATATTTAAATTTTTTATAATAAAAATAATAATAAAATTCATGACAACTTAGGTCTTAGATTGATAGTTTCCAATCATTCAGGTCCTAAATTGATAGTTTTTTATCATTCGGGTCCTATATCGATACATTTCATCTTTCGGGTCCTGAATTGATAATTAATCTATCTTTCGGGTCCTGAATTGATAAAATTCCTTTTTTTATTGAAAGTGGCTTAATACATGTCAATGAAAGTAGCATTCAGAAAGGACACAAGATAATAAAAGAACCGCAAGTAATCATCTGCTCGTGACCGAGACTGAGAGTTAACCACCTGTACAAAAGCAGTATAACTCGCTAGACCGAGATTGGGCAATTGTGAGCCAATGACGATTACCACAGAACTTTCACAACCCCAACCTAATGCAATAGTCTTACAAGACATAAAATAGCAAAAATAAGACATAACAACTGAGTTCCGAAAACAGCAAACAAAACAAAAAAGTAAAATAACACCATCCTTGGTCTTAACCACCAGCACCATAACACAGAATCTCGGCGGGCCTAGAAAGCTAGACCCGCCGCCGCCCCATTTTTTGATCCATCTAGAGCCATGCCTTCACCCTCACCGGCCATCTTCTTTATCCGAGTCTTCCCAAATTCGCCTTCTTTTTGTGTCCCCTGAGGCTTCCTCTTTTTTCACTGTTGGGTGTGTTTCGGAAAATAAAGAAAATTAATTAAAATAAATTAATTAAATAAAATGACCAGAGAAAAACAAGAAAGGAGATGAAGCAGAATTAGTCAAAGCTCGTGCTACGCACGATGTCCTTAAAACGTATTTGTTGCCTCCCACGGTGCTAGGAGCGTTGCAACAATAGTTTCCCAGGATACGATGACTACGAACTAATGTTTGAGCACACAAACAAAAGTTCCAGCGAACGAGAACACAGTATGAACACAGAGGAATTTTTCAGAATGCTAGCAGTGTGTTTTTAGAGCTAAAAACGTGTACAATCGTGTAAGAACGTGTCTTGTTGCAAACCACCTGCCAGCCTTTATATAGGAGGATTTGTTGTGTGTAAATGGTGACTTAATGGACCTGAACGTTGGACATCAATGACCAGTCCGTTGGGCATTGAATCGTCCATGAACTGTCCATTTAACGCTGCATTAAAAGATAAGAACGTTGGGCATTAATTGTTGTAACGTTTCAGAAGCGCGACAGAAGACCTCCATCAGAACACCCCGGGAGGGGTTCTGATCGGAGGCCAATCAGAAGACCCCAACTCTGATCCGCGGCCATCAGAGTACCCCCAACTCTGATGGGCGGCCATCAGAATACCCCATCTCTGATGGGCGGCCATCAGAATACCCCATGAGGGGTTCTGCCATCAGAAGACCAACAAGGTGTTCTGATCCGTAGACTTCTGTCCGAGCACTTCTGCCGCTGGGAAAAAATCAAACGATTTCGGGATTTGATTTGCACCCCCCCCCTGCGCGCGTGGAGAGAGCCTTTACCCTTAGGAATCTTAACTGCATAAGGGGGGAGTCCCTTTATAAAGGGTTGCAAATCCCTTGGGTTTTCCGGTGTGGGAAATTAACACTAGAAACCCATCCTTTTTCCCAGTTTTTCCATTCTAACGGGTAAACTTCGAAAAGCGATTTCTCATTCACCCGTTATCCGTTTTGAGCGTACCATATATCGAATTGTAGCCCTTAACAAGGACAATCCGAAACCACTTTGACCCGACCCAAATCGGAAGTGGACCCCACTCAAAAAATTGCCCCAAAATAGCCATTTAATGCAATTTTCACACATTTTTCCAACATCCACTTCCTCATTCTTGGATTCGGCCGTTTGCTCCCTACCGAGATCAGACTTCCACTGACTTCCATACCCATCTGAGCTAGAGGCTCCATCAGATAACCATTTATTGAATCCTGTCGGGCTAGTCTTTACCCTTCCTCCTGCTCTGAGACTCGCTCCATACATTTTTTCAGCGACAAAACCCTCTTCATATTTTAATGGACAAAACTTGTCAGAATACCCAATAATACCACAAATAAAACAGAAACTTGGTAGCTTCTCATATCTGAAATCTACCCAGTGTTTCACCCCATCCTGTGTCAAATTTGTACCTTTTTTCAAGGGCTGGCAAACATCCAAACATACCCTTATCCGAAGATAGGAATTCTGCCTACCTTCAAACTGGCTCATCTCAAATTTAATAAAAGAACCTAAAAAATTACCAATTTTCCTGGTAAATCGCAGATTCCTATACTTAAAAGGAGCATTACTGTCACGCCCCGGACCTACCGGACACGTCAACAACCCGCCGTACAGTACGAATAGTCAACCGCAGTCCAACTCATCCATACTATACTAGGCGTCTTGAATACCATTCACAATAGTACATCCATAAACAATCATAATGTAAAATATTTAATTAAGTAGCGGAAATATTAATACAAGTATTCAAGCCACACGTGGCAAACACGGGCATACAAGCCCCCAAATAATTATTCCGAAAATAATATCCATGAGCATTTAATAATATTGTTTTGAAAACAGATACGGAGGAAGCACGAACCACGTCTTCTCTCCTTTAGCTTCCCGAAGCAACGGACGATGATAGCAAGCTTTAGCCCCTACCTGAAACTGTGAGGTGGCCTCCCCCGTGAAGGGGAGGTCAGTACTTGGAAGCATTTGACAAGTACAATGACAACTATACTAAGTATAATCAATGATTCAATTTCCAAGTCCCTCAAATAGAGTGATATTATATTATAGGTCATAACCTGTGGTTACCCTCTTTGAAAATATACTTACTTTATATATAAAATCAAGTAGTCGGCCCGAAGGCCCATGTTTACTTTGAAAACATTTAACCCTTCCCCGTGACTTCAAGCCACGCCTATCAATTTTAGTTCACCATGCTAGAGGCTTCCTCTAGTCATGTTTTGTCGTGCTAGAGGCTTACTCTAGTCACTCCACTTGGTGTTAGAGGCTTCCTCTAATCACCTTACATATGTTGTGCTGGAGGCTTCCTCCAGTCACATTACGTTACGCTAGAGGCTTCCTCTAGTCGTCCTATACGAATGCTGGAGGCTTCCTCCAGTCATTCTTCATCGTGCTAGAGGCTTCCTCTAGTCACGATACTAGTTTACTGATGTGAGTTTTCTCGCACTTAAAAAAATTGTAATATAGGGGTGTAAGTACGAGTATCGTCTCCACAGGGACGGACAAAAGGGAATTAAAGATTAACTAAATTCAGCGATTAAAAATGAAATAAATAAAATAAATGCGTCGTGCGAGATTGGTTGATTTGAAAATTAAACTAATGCGGTTGAGCGAATAAAAAATAAATGTGGTTTCTAATTAATTAATGACGAAGGGAATAGGGATTGATTCCGGGGTAACCAGATTTCTGGCAGATCAGGCCTAATTACATGAAATTGATTTAATTGAGCCTAGCTAATCATTACTAAGTTCTTACCGCTCTCGCGGCGTAGAGTACAATAATTTAGGGGACCAGGCTGATCTCTCATGCGACAGGATCCTAAATTATTGCCAAGACGAGCGAGCTTACGGCTCCTTAATCGCTACTAATCTCTTAGCGAACGATTAAGTGTGTGTGAATGTGTCCTAGAATAAACTAGATCTCTCTTAATTTATTCTACAAGCAATTGTAATTCTAGCCGCGGTTCCAGGTTACAAAAGATATCAGTTAAATTATTCAAACACAAATTAAATGGCATTCATGCAATTAAACCGACAAGAATCTAGCCATCAATCATGATTAACCCCTTCATCAATCCCAAATCCCTAATTAAACTACTCACAATTCATAATTGAAGAATCAACAGAATTGGGATGAATAGAAATAATTGTCATTAATTAAAAAGATGAACTTACAAATAATCCCAGGGTCTTGGAGTAAACAATCGTAAAAACGCAAGTAAATTCGTCCCTAGGCCTCTCCGTAATGTTCGTCACCATCCAAAAGGGTTAGAGAGGCCTTATTTATAGAAAAAGGGGGGAAAATATGAATTCGGGCCGATTTGGGATTCAAGCTTGCGTCACCTGGTGCTACGCACGGCGTGCGTCCCCCCTACGCACGGCCGTGCGTAGCTGGCAGTAGCTACCTTGCTTTTCTCGCCTCAGACGCACGGTCGTGCGTTCCCCTACGCACGGAGTGCGTAAAACTTCCGAATTTGACAAAACTTTCTTCATGAAAGTTGTAGATAATGAAGTCTTCTATCCACCCCAATTTGCCGAATGTGATTTGAATCATCCAATCAAGAGATATGATCACAACGGTGGAAGGTGTCATTCTGAGATCGCAGCAGAGATCATCTGTCTTCATCGTCTGTTTTCATCTTCTTCCTCTCCGATTCTAGGAATGATGTCTTCATATGATTTGTAGCTCTTGAAGTTGGCTTTCATGTGGACTTTGAATCGTGTTCTTTGGATGCTTATACAAAGAGATATGCTTGAACGATTGACCAAAGGTCATCCTGAATGCCGTTTTCAAGCTTCATTCATCTTCTTTTTGATCTCATAGCCAATCCTAGAGCTCTTTTGTCATTAAATCTTCATCGTAAACCTACCGGTGACCTCCATAGCTCTCAAATCAACACTCAAATGCATCTTGAATCATCCCGATTGCTCCTCAAGTGCCGATGTTGAACTCTAAAATCCTGATTTTGACTCCAAATGACACAAAACTCGAACCAACGCCTGTTAAACATAACTTGAGCTAAAATTGAGATTTGTAACACCTTAAAGCTAGGAAAACCATCAAAAGCCGATCCCAACACGCATCAAATGCGTGTCTAAATACGGACTTATCAGATTCCCCCACACTTAAGCCTTTGCTTGTCCTCAAGCAAACTAAACAACGGGACTTACGATAATCACCACACGGAATCAAAACAATTAGCATGCACACGTAGTTAAAGGAATATTCACAGAACAGGCAGACTAAACCAAGAAAATTCTTCCCTAAACTACATCTTTGTACTCAAGCTAAACTATTTGACAAAGTATTCACAACATCCTTAGAGTAATGACATCATACACAAATAAACTAGCTATTGATCAGAAGGACTTGTGAAGGTGATGGTGAATGATGAATGGTAATAAACAATCCCTTTCTTTTGAGAGATTGGAATATTCTAACAAAGACTCAATGCATTCAGGAACTTCAGGGCTATTCTTAGGATCAAGGAACTCAGTAGGCCACAATTTAGGAACAATCATTTAAACCTATGCAAAGAGTAGACATGGTGTACAACTAAGCTAAACCGTCTCGGCACATTTGTGCTTTGACGTATACTTGAAGTACGCGGAGGACTAAAGCTAAATTTTGAGATAGCCTCCAAATTCATTAATTATGTTTAGTTTTCCTTGTCGTGTTGGCACGAGAACGCCATTTCTGTCGAAAGATACCCAAGTCTCATCTTACGCTTTTTGACCGGGACTCCCATTCTCTTTTTCGCAAGATAAGAGGTCTAGCTATATTAATTTTTCACCTTTCGGATTCTCACTAGACATTACCTCATTCTAATCTCGGCCTCACCAAGGAAAAATAGCAATTAAAGTTCATTAATTTCAAAGTGAATCCATGCCTACAATGCAATCCTCGAAAGTATCATATTCCTAAAAGATGACTGCTCTTACCCCATTTGGGGCATAGGAACAGTGCCAAAATGGCTCCTACACAAATTCCCTAAACTTTGCAAATTAATCCCCTAGTTCCCTAAACATCAAGACTAAGTCAGAAATATTCCAGGTAAGGAAACACAGACCATTTGGCTATGGAGCTCAATTAATTGGGTAACAAAGAACGGTCAGGCTCAAAATGGCTTCTCCTAAAGGAACTTATTCAGGTCAATGGGAAAATTGTTAATTCATTACATGAGTGACTAATGCCTTCATCCTTTCAACAACCAGATTATAGTGCAAGCAAATTAAGTCTAAACACTTCAAAGATGTTATAAAAGCATAGTCAAATGCTAGCCACTTCACAAAGACACAGTTTAAAGAAAAATTTTCAAAAATTTTGACACGAATTTCCTATGAATATACAACTAACACCTGCGCATGCTAACTCTAATTAATCACATGTAACAACTACTGCCCGAATGCCCAATTCACTCCCCCACACTTAAACTTTGGCATCGTCCTCGATGACCAAAAATGCACTATGCACAAGGGGGTAAAGAGGATAGGGTCACGCGTGCTCAATCTTAACTCAAGTCAACATTTACAAAACAGGCAAAAATAAGAGTCGCAGAAACTTCCCTAAGGTGCTGGTCGGTGAAGAACTAAACGGAGTCAATGATCCTCGGTACATCATCCCTACAACAAGACCCTGACCTGCAACAAAAACACAAAGCAAAACAACCAAAAAACAAAGAAGGCAAAAGCAAAAACAAAAGCAGAAAAAAAAGCTCGGGTTGCCTCCCGAGAAGCGCTATTTTTAACGTCGTTTGCCCGACGCAACCGCCTCATCAAAAACTCAGTCAAAGACACCCCCGCTCAGAAAATTAGTCTTCCACAAATCAAACCTCCTATCAACAAATGCCCTGAGATGGCGTAAAACCTTAAATTCATGAAAACAATTGTGCATCTTAGGGCCACTTGTAAAGCACAGGAATGAGTCTAGGCCTTTATGAGGTCCTTTATCAAAGAATGGGTCAAAATCAGTCTCTTTAAAAGGTGGGGGTTTCTTCCCTCCTCTCCAGGTGGATCAATGGCATCTAACAAAAAGCACTCATTAACATCTTGACAGGACTGTTTTGCCAGCTTGGCCATGCAAAAAGTAACTCTCTCCTCCCCAACCCTCAAAATCAATTTCCCTTCCCCAACATCTATGAGTGCCCGAGCAGTGGCTAGAAAAGGCCTTCCAAGAATCAAGGGCACATCAAAATCTTGGGGCATATCCAAAACAACAAAGTCAACCGGAATCACAAACTTGTCCACTTTAACCAATACGTCTTCAGCCCTTGAGGGTATTTAACTGATCGATCAGCCAATTGTATGCACATACGTGTTGGTTTAAGTGGACCGAGTGCAAGCTTCTCATACAAAGAGTAAGGCATCAAATTAATGCTTGCACCCAAATCAGCTAACGCATTATTAGAAATCATACATCCTATGGAACAATGGATAGTAAACTTACCTGGGTCCTTGAGCTTTTTGGGCATCTCTTTCAACACCACCGCCGAGCATTCTTCATTCAGCACCACCGATTTCGGTTCTCCCCACTTTCTTTTGTTGGAAAGGAGTTCCTTCATAAACTTTGCGTACCTTGGCATTTGATTCAGCGCCTCCATAAATGGTACGTTTACTTGAACCTGTTTAAAGAGGTTTAGAAACTTGTTGAAGTCCTCAGTGTCACTCTTCCCCTTTAAGCGTTGCGGGTATGTGAGTGGTGGTTTGTAAGCTTTGACTGGAACGGGTTGCTTTGGGACTGCGCCCCCCTCCTCCTCTTTCTTTTCTTCTTCCTTCTTCTCCTCAAGAACAACTGCAGCAGGTTCAACGTCTTCAACTTTCTTCTTCATGGCAGCAGGTTCCAGATCTCGTCCACTCCTCAGTGTGATTGCGTGAACTTGCTCTCTTGGATTTGGTTCGGTGTTGCTCGGGAGGGATCCCATAGGCCTCTCAGAAACGGCCTTTGCGAGCTGCCCCAACTGAATTTGCATGTCTTGAATACTTGACTGTGTTTCTCGAATACTCGACTGCGTTTCTTGAATACTCGACAGCGTTTCTTGAATACTCGACTGCGTTGATTGATCTCTCACCGCAGTCACTTGAATGAATTGCTCGAGTGTCTTCTCCAAGTTAGAAAGTTTATGCTCAGTCTCATTCCTTTGTGGCTGGAATTGTTGTTCTTGCGGTTGAGATTGGGGCTGATTAAAGTTCCTATATTGTTGTTGATTTCCCTGCCCATAGTTTCCTTGTTGCTGCTGGTGGTAGGGCTGATTGTAGTAGCCCTTCCTTTGAAAATACACTGCGTCCACTTATTCCACTCCAGGGGCTGCCGAGTGTGCCATCATAGTGCATTCATGCGGCCAATGGAGTCCCCCACATGTAGTACAAGAAGGACTAATAGGACCGGGGGCTACCATATTGACACTGGGCACCGAGAGAGCAAGTTCCATCTTCTTTTGATTATCCTCCACGGTTGTAGTGAGCTTCTGAAGCATGCTAGCCAAAGTATCTACCCTTGCAGAAAGGGAAGAATTATCACTAATCTCATACAAACCCGGGGCCTTCTGGTGAGGTGTGTCCCGAAAGTTGTACCATGAAGCATTATTTGAAACAATCTTCTCCACTAGTTCTTCCCCCACCTTAGATGGTAAGTGAGGAAAAGCTCCACCACCCGAAGCATCGAGCATCATCTTTCCTTCGTTGTTGAGTCCACTGTAGAAGCAAGATAGAACCTCACAATCAGTCATCTTGCCTTGTGGGCAAGCTCTTCTCAACACCTTGAACCTCTTCCATGCCTCAACCATTGTCTCCAGGGGTCCTTGCTTGAATTCTTGCAGTTGCTTCTTCAACTTTAGTGCTTTTGACGTCGGAAAATATTCTTTGATGAAGGACTTGTGCAGCTGGTCCCAAGTTTGAATATGATGGTGAGGATTGCTGTCCAGCCACCTCTGTGCATCGTCCCTCAGTGAGAAAGGGAAAAGTAACATCCGCACCTGATCATCATCTACTCCAGGTATCTTGAAAGTCTGGCACATCCGCAGGAATCGGGTAATATGCGCCACTGGATCTTTAGTAGGGCCTCCTCCAAATTGATTATTGGACACCATGTTAATCACCGTTGGGTTGATCTCGTAACGGTTTGCAGTAATTCCCGGCACTTGAATGCTGTCATACTCTGAAATCTCCGGAGTGAGGAAATCTGCAATAGTCTCTCCCTGATAGAGCGGGTTGTCATGTGAGATATAATTATTGAATGGAGGAGCCTGCTGTCTAGGCTGAAGAACAGGCTGTGGTCTAATAGGGTGCGGTCGGATTATGTTTGGTTGCGGTTGGGGCTGCACTTTGGGCTGACAGAATTGGTTTTGATTCCGAAAAGGCTGATTTTGTGGCCGAGTCAGGGGTGGATTTTGGGTGACTGGTGGTGGGTGCTGTCTAGGCTGTAAGACTGGAATGGATTGCCCTACATCCTGCATCCCATATGTTTGGTTCTGAAAAGTGGTTTCGGGAGCAGTAGAGGTATTTTGGAAAAGTTGGTATAATGGAGGAAGATTTAATTGTGGAGTGGTCTGATTTTGACGGAAGAAAGGATTGTGGAAATTTTGAAATCCAGCGGGATTTCTAGGTGATGCAGGCGGTGAAGACTGAGGAGAGGTATTGACGAAAAAATCAAGGTTATCAGCAGTGGTTTGGACCTCAGACGTCCCAGCAAATCCAGAGGATGTAGGGTCCATGGTTGCGTTCTTCTCAAGAAAAGCCTTGTGGTTCTGTCTAGCGAACTTCTCAATCTCAGGATTAAGAGAGATAAGTGGTTCTCCCCTCTTTGAGCGTGTATGCATAAACAGACTGACCTGCAAGGTTAGTAGACAAAAATCCTACGAAAAACTAAAAACAAGTCGCTGATATTAATTAATCCTCAAATCCGACACCGTCCCCGGCAACGGCGCCAAAAACTGATGTGAGTTTTCTCGCACATAAAAAATTGTAATATAGGGGTGTAAGTACGAGTATCGTCTCCACAGGGACGGACAAAAGGGAATTAAAGATTAACTAAATTCAGCGATTAAAAATGAAATAAATAAAATAAATGCGTCGTGCGAGATTGGTTGATTTGAAAATTAAACTAATGCGGTTGAGCGAATAAAAAATAAATGTGGTTTCTAATTAATTAATGACGAAGGGAATAGGGATTGATTCCGGGGTAACCAGATTTCTGGCAGATCAGGCCTAATTACATGAAATTGATTTAATTGAGCCTAGCTAATCATTACTAAGTTCTTACCGCTCTCGCGGCGTAGAGTACAATAATTTAGGGGACCAGGCTGATCTCTCATGCGACAGGATCCTAAATTATTGCCAAGACGAGCGAGCTTACGGCTCCTTAATCGCTACTAATCTCTTAGCGAACGATTAAGTGTGTGTGAATGTGTCCTAGAATAAACTAGATCTCTCTTAATTTATTCTACAAGCAATTGTAATTCTAGCCGCGGTTCCAGGTTACAAAAGATATCAGTTAAATTATTCAAACACAAATTAAATGGCATTCATGCAATTAAACCGACAAGAATCTAGCCATCAATCATGATTAACCCCTTCATCAATCCCAAATCCCTAATTAAACTACTCACAATTCATAATTGAAGAATCAACAGAATTGGGATGAATAGAAATAATTGTCATTAATTAAAAAGATGAACTTACAAATAATCCCAGGGTCTTGGAGTAAACAATCGTAAAAACGCAAGTAAATTCGTCCCTAGGCCTCTCCGTAATGTTCGTCACCATCCAAAAGGGTTAGAGAGGCCTTATTTATAGAAAAAGGGGGGAAAATATGAATTCGGGCCGATTTGGGATTCAAGTTTGCGTCACCCGGTGCGACGCACGGTCGTGCGTTCCCCTACGCACGGAGTGCGTAAAACTTCCGAATTTGACAAAACTTTCTTCATGCAAGTTGTAGATAATGAAGTATTCTATCCACCCCAATTTGCCGAATGTGATTTGAATCATCCAATCAAGAGATATGATCAAAACGGTGGAAGGTGTCATTCTGAGATCGCAGCAGAGATCATCTGACTTCATCGTCTGTTTTCATCTTCTTCCTCTCAGATTCTAGGAATGATGTCTTCATATGATTTGTAGCTCTTGAAGTTGGATTTCATGTGAACTTTGAATCGTGTTCTTTGGATTCTTATACAAAGAGATATGCTTGAACGATTGACCAAAGGTCATCCTGAATGCCGTTTTCAAGCTTCATTCATCTTCTTTTTGATCTCATAGCCAATCCTAGAGCTCTTTTGTCATTAAATCTTCATCGTAAACCTACCGGTGACCTCCATAGCTCTCAAATCAACACTCAAATGCATCTCGAATCATCCCGATTGCTCCTCAAGTGCCGATGTTGAACTCTAAAATCCTAATTTTGACTCCAAATGACACAAAACTCGAACCAACGCCTGTTAAACATAACTTGAGCTAAAATTGAGACTTGTAACACCTTAAAGCTAGGAAAACCATCAAAAGCCGATCCCAACACGCATCAAATGCGTGTCTAAATACGGACTTATCATTTACTAAGCAAATCCTATGCCTAGAGTTCCTCTACTATGAGTAGCCTTTGAGGCCTACTCCTACGGTAACTTAACGTTTACCCATTTCTACCTTAAGACATCTCATAAGACTACTTAAGGTGCCTCTTTCACAATCCAAGCCCTTAGGATTTATTCTATCGCTTTCCGTACTATTATTTCCGACTAGTAAATTCAATACTAATCCATAAATCTTTAAGCCACCAAGCTCTTAATTCATAGTTATAAGGTTCATTCCTTTGAATTTCCCAATCCGTATATGATTTAATCTCAATATCAAAAATATCACTTTTACCCATTCATGATTCCTATACCTGGAAGTAAAAGTATATTTTATCACAAGAATTTCATGGTTTACACAATCATCATAGCATCATACTTATAATGCATAACTATACATCATTTACTCATAAATTTGTATATTATGCATTTTCTATTCATAAACAATAGTATTTTCATTTAGGCATTATTAATCATTAATAATCCATGAAAATCACATTTAATTTACTTAGGTAATCTTATGAAATTAACCCAAGGATTATAAGCAATATAGTCAGCCATCCTCACCTTATGATGTGCTACAATAGTTGCCTTTGTTAAGCCCCTCGATCAATCCCCGTTCTAGGCCGATTGGAAATGCAAAAGTGGACTGCTGGACAAAAGCCGGGCGGCTTTCACAATTGCCGGGCGGCTTTCGTGTTCTGCAGATTCGAGCAGCTCCCTAAAGGTGGCGGTTTCCGGCGGTTTCGACTCATATCGATTCACCAACACTTCTAAGTTAAATATCACCACTTTATATCAATATTCTACACTTTTAAACGTGTAGAACTCGTGGTTTAATCCATCATATGATTCCTTAAAAATCCAACAAAATAATACTAGTTAAAGATTGTTTGTTAAGTTCTTACCTCAAAAACAATCCTCTTCTCCTTGGATTTTCTTCTCTTCTTGGCTCCTCAAGCTAATGAACTTTGAGAGCACTTCCTAGGCTTTGGTTGGTTCGTATGAGTGCAATGATAGGAGTCCATCCCTACTCCTCTAAGTCAACCAATAAAACAAGGGGTAGGGTCATGGAGGGTGTGGCTTTGTCTCTAGGAGACTTCCTCCTCCTCCCCTTGTCCGCACCTATCATATTTTCTTGTCTCCAAATCATTATTTGGAGTATACAATGCATGTAGGAAAAATCCCATTTGGGTGTAGAAAGTTTCTCCCAATTATTCCCGCTATTTCTGGCAGGTTGGGTCAAAATAGCGTTTGGGTTGCCCAATCATTTCCCTCAACCTCGGTTGGCATTTTATTGGGCTTCTATAATTATTTAACGACCCAACTAGATATTTGGTAGCCCATTCTCAATATTATGGACCCGATAAATAATTTAATTAATCGTGCATTAATTAAATCCATCATTCTTTCATACGAGAATATTCACTAGAAAAATTCAAATACATACTGAATTTTAAATTCAAGTACATCCGGGTGCGGTGTCACAATTACGCACCTGTACCCAGATTCTTGCTTCAAATAAATTCATTGATTCAGGTATATCATTCGGTTGGATAGCTTTTAGCAGTATTAAATCACGCTCAAACAGCCAAGGACCATCC